GTCAATTCTTTAGCATATTTCAACCAATCATTCCATCTGTTTTCATGAGAAACAGAAAAACCTCTAAAATCTCAGATAGTATGTGGTAGAACACAGCATCAAAGCATGACACAACTAACTAACTTGATGGCTTACAGAACCTGAATGTTCATCACCGAAATCATCAATGCCCTCTACTGGACTGTCCTGGGCCAACAAAATCCAGTCTCCTTCAACTCCTATCTCCCATAGATCCTGCCTGAGATTATCCTCCCATCTACGTCTAGGTCTCCCCAGCGGCCTCTTCCCCTCAGGCTTCCAAACCAATACCCGGTGCACACTTCTTGCCCCATCCATTCGCACCACCCATCTCATTCTTCTTGACTTAAACACCCTGACAATATTGGGGGAGAAGTACAAATTTTTAAGCTCATCATTATGCAGTTTTCTCCATACCTCATCGTCTTCTCTCCTAGGCCCAAATATCCTCCTTAACACCCTATTGCATGACACAACATTGACTTTATCATCATCACTATTCTAGGTAAAACAATAGGATGATTCTGTCTGAATCTCTTCTATCGTCTCAAATCTCCTTCCCTTTAGCTGAATTTTCATCTTTGGGAAGAGGAAGAAGTCACACGGAGCTAAGGAGGTTGCGGGATGACGGCCATGGTGTTTGAGGCCAAAAACTGCCGAACTTTGAGGGCGGTGTGCGCTGGCGCGTTGTCTTGATGCGTCGCATGTGGAGTTCTTCCTTTAGAATCAGCTGACAGGTCCCAACAATGTCGCACAAGTCGTTGATGGTACGACGTCGATCTTCGTGAATGGCCTGCCGAATCTTGGTAACATTTTCGGGCGTTGTGCTCGAAGATGGTCGTCCAGAATGCTCGTCATCATCGACAGGGGTTCGGCCATTTTTAAAACGTGAATGCCACACAAAAGTTTGTGCACGACCCATTGCGGACTCCCCAAATGCTTGCTTTAGCATTTCATAGGTTTCCGTAGCCGTTTTGGCGAGTCTTTGGCAAAATTTGATTTGTTCATGAAAATCCGCCATTCCGAAATCGCAGGAGGGTCGGTGTAATGCACTACCAAAACGCCCGTAACTAAGAAACAAATGCTAATTCGATGATGCCGGCTGACACACTGTTTCACTATGAATGTAGGCCGCACCCCCTAGCGGCAGAAGCTCGTACTACATCCGGTTCGCCCTCTATTGACACAGTCTTGAAACTTTCCGATCGCACCTCGTATGGACCACCTGATAAAAGAAGGAATAGAAATCAACCTGCATTCCAATAATTGGGATAGGGATGGAGGCTACACTGTGAGTCAGACCTGGTATCCAGTGACAAAATGCTTAAACAATCTGGCCATAACACCAATAGAAAGCAGGGCCACACAGCACGAGCTCTTGACTCTGCCCACCAGCTGTTTTTGGCAGGTATATATGGAAGATGACCGCACCATCTAGTCACATCAGAACCCTGATGATGGGGACAGAGATGGTCCCTAAAACGTCAGTTTCGTCTTTTAACGATTTTATGTGGCTGATCACCCAAGATTTTATTAGGATGGTATCAACTTCATCACCTACAAAACATGTCAAAGCCCACATCTTATACAATTCACTAACTGAACAAGAACAAACAAGCAAGCTGCCTTCTGCTAGCAGCAAAAAAACCATGAACAGTGACACCTCTCGCAGATAGTGGTGAGTCAATGATCCACAAAGCGCTAGATTTAAACATAATAAGTATAAGTAACACTGATTTTTGGTCTTTACAAATTTTGGGGTGCACTGTGCCTGGCTTTGTCAATGTTCAAATTTCTGCTCAGTACATTAATATGAGCATGCACTAACTTTTTAAGCATTTATATAGTATTTCCATCACAAATTTCTAGAATATTCCTATTTGTTATTACATATTTTCTCCTTTAATACATCCATTACAACATAACTATACACATTTATTATACAAGTCTCAGATTGTTAACATCAAAACAGTGTTCTCCTGAATTGAACCTGTAGCATACAAGAGACATCCGTAATAGGGATCATCATCATGAAGTTGGATGAACAGTTTAATTCATCTTTCATCTGGCTGCATCTCCAGGAGAAGTAGGTTTTTTAGTGATGGTAGCATGTCAACAAATAGTATCAGCTTTAAGATTTTCAGCAACCAAACAAGAATGAAACAAGCCAAATACTGACTTTCAATTATGCTAAACTGTATGGAGACGATGGTCTTCAGAGTTTCTGTGCCAAGTGGTCTCACAGAATCTGACTAATGTTTTAGACGTGCTTGCTGTCTCTGGAATGTTAGTTAGATGAGATGGTGTAATATCCCAGACGACAGTAATCCCTACAAACTTCATCCCTGATACCACAAAGGAACTTATCTACTTTCAAAATGAATGAATGTGAACCAGTTGTAACATATATCACTACACTCTTCTTTCAGAAGTAAAAAATATTTATTTTAAATCAGTCAATCAATCCAGAATTCTCTTGCTGAATTGTATGGGTGATCTTATGAGTAAAGTATTAATATATGTAGTTAGTATCAATAAGCATTTTCAACAGTCGAGTTTGAGTAAACTTGAACATAAAATGTGTTTCCATTACAGACATTTGTATTCAACCTTATAAGTTTAGTTCACAATTTATGACTGAAAGTCACATAAACACTGTTGAAGACCACCACTGCATTTCACACATGCCACACATGAATCTGAAATGCTCACAATCTTCACAGCAAGAAAATCATTAGATGTCACCAACTGCCTCATATCATACACTGTATCAGAACAGTAATAAATGGGCTATCTTTATTCCCTTTCTACCAAACACTTAGTATCATTACCATCATTCACTGTGGATAAATTTCAAAGATATTCAAATACACATATTTTGATAGAATATGCACAATGGAATAAACAGAATATGCACAGACACTGCCACTTTATTCCTATTCTCTAACTTGAAGTAGGTAACCTCATCATTTCCAAAGTAATTTTTACCTATAACTAAACAAAAAATCACGTGTCAATCAAAAAAGTCATTAGTTTCTCACATAATATTCAACTGTAACACAATTTTTAAAGATGAAATTCTGAACACTACTAGACTTTTGACATGTGCATGTAGCTGCAAGACCATGGCTTTTCTGCTCCTGTCATCAAAGTCACTTTCTTCAAGTCATCAAATATCTAATATTGTTCACATGGATGGCTGCCACAGACATTCATCCAGTATTGCAATAACTGGTCTTCATTCTGTTTCGGGGGCCATTATAACAGCATGGTGTTGTCACATGACAGATAACAATTACTTATAGTTACAGTGGACTGCTACTTACTTACATACTTGCTTTAGTCCAGTAACCTACACTGCAACTGTTACCACTACATGGGCAACAAGATGTCTTCCCTAGGTCAATAAACATTCCAACACAAGGACTACTGAAGAGGTTATGAACGTCCTCAAGAAACAACCATTTACAGAAATTGGGAGGGCTTCTTCATATGTTGTATAGTCATACATATATTCTATTTAAAATATAACACCCTATTTTACATAGGGATTATTTTTACAGTATTTTGTACAAGTATCTACAGTCTTTCTTGGGGAAGTATTTGCCATAGAACATAAACCGGATGTAATCTTCTGATTTATGAATTCTATAATTTTAAATACACAGACATTATTTTTTTACACATCCTACATCATGTATGTTCCTCTACAGCAGGTTGGGCCAAGCCAAATGATCTTTCGGGCCACTTTGGAAATGCATCATAACTCCGCGGGCCACATATAAAATTATATATCCCCATATTAGATTTAGATACACTATAGACATTTTTTTGGAGTGAAAAAACATAGTGTAAACATAGATAATATAATAATAATGATACTAAGCGTACATTGTAAAGAAATATATAGCACTAAAAATTAAATATAAATATATTTTGTAAAAGTGTGATGAATCTCGCGGGCCGGAAAAATGTTCAAGGCGGGCCACATGCGGCCCGCGGGTTGGCCACCCCTGCTCTACAGGATTAACAAATAATAAACGATAATGTAATTTTGCTTATAACTTCATTCTGGGGGCACTGACTTGGGAAAATTTGCCTACCTTACTCTCATTAACCACTGCTTAACTGACTGAATCCAGCAAGTGCTTTTCTCATTACCTTTCCTCAGGCACGCTGTAAGAACACTTTCAAAAGGTGACTGCTGCACAAATACTTACTGTGCATCATTCTCCATGTCCATAACATGATATTGCCATAATAAAACATAATGTATTATGACTGAACAGAGTCAACAGTCAACAACAAAACAATCAATTTCAATGGCATCATTCCCTTCATGATGGGGCGGACAGGGTTCCTGTCCAAAGTTGTCATGGCTTGTTGCTTCATCTCTTCAATTACAAACTTGGGAGACGTGTGGAATTTTGAGGTTACGTCCAAGAAATGTAACATGGACAAAACTAAATTAAATTTCACTATACTTTTCAGTATCTAAATGCGATAGTAACAAGAGATTTGTAGAACTGCCAATTTGTAACATGAAAGCATGCTTTATTACGCACAAACCACAACAAATCACAAGTATTAAAAAAACAAACACCATGCATAAAAGTAGACCATCTACAAAACCAAAACTTACCTTCCTTTTAAATTTTTATGAATTACCAGAGTATAACAATATTTTGCACGCCACGGTGGTCTAGCGGTTAGGACGCTGGCCTTGTAATCCTGGGGTCTCGGGTTCGATTCCCGGCGGTGCCCGAATTTATAACTTGTGTTGGGCAAGGCCGTGGTCTAGGCAACACGGAGTTTTCCTCCGGGGCTTCCCTGGTTTCTCCGTGGCATCCCAACAATTACTCCATTCACACACAGAAGAAGGCAATGGCAAACCACTTCTGGATCATCTGCCAAGAACGTATATGAACAGGTCCCAGTCCGAGAAAAGGATGGAAGGATCCTGTTCATATGGACCTGTCGTCAGACAGAACACTAAATAAATAAATAAATAATAAATAACAATATTTTGATCATTTATAAATTAACCGTCTTTCTTCGGCATCACAGTCAATACCCACCTCATATTTAACACATGCAGTTGCTTCGTAATTAGTTCCGACAAATGAGAAAGTATAATGGTCGGAAGATTGACAAGGTCTACTCAACTGACTGTCGTTATAGACAGGATCTGCACAATGACGTCACCTTGTGCTCAACTGCGGGAGGGAAGTTTGAAGTTGTTTAATTATTCGTTTTTCCTTGGATTTGAAATAGTTATATGTTTATATTTTTTAGAAAAGATGAAGTTTAAACAAAATGGCAATGAAACATAAGCTTACGAACCCTTTTTAGCATACTTTTATTTCTTAAAGAGAAAGAAACGCAGATGGATAAGATCCCCATGTCATATTTGTGTTCCTTTTCAACTTTAGATTTTAACAAAATTTGGCATGAACTTTATGCTGTTAGAGGCCACCCCAATACCAAATCTTTTAATTTCTTATAATCAGTAACAACAACATGGCAGGTGTGCGAACTAATAGGGTGGGGCCAACACTAGCACTACTTAAAACAGAGTCATGCAAATGTATATGGTAATAGATCTTCAAACAATATGCAACTTTTTTGAGGCATTTTTCTGGAATGTAAAAACAACATGGCGGCCATGTGAAAATTTCTTTTGATTTTCCGTGTGACAACAGTAATGAACTACTGGAACTAGACATGTGAAATCTGGTATGGAGGAGAATCATAAACTCACTAATATAGCAGGGGCATAACACTTCCAAGTTATTCCTTCCTCCGTGGCTCTATGGTCCTGTGAGGACCTTCGCCTCCCTTATCAGAGTCTTCCAGTCATCCCTTGACTCTGCCTTCCTTCGCCATCTTCTTACTCCAATGGTTCTCAGATCTTCGCCCACATCATCTAGCCATCTCATACGTGGTCGTCCCATCCTCCTCCTTCCACCTGGTTGCCCATTTAGCGCCTTTTTTGGGTACCTTCCACCAGTCTTCCGTTGAACATGTCCCAGCCATCTCAGTCTGCCTATCTTAATAATAGCAACCAGACCTGGTTCTTTGTACATTCGTTCTTATTCTCCATTCGTCTCCTTCCTCCACTGGCCCAAATATCTTTCGCAACACTTTTCTCTCCCATACATTAATACTCCTTTCTGTAGTTTTCGTTAGGACCCATGCTTCACTTCCATACATTATTACAGGTCTCATAATAGTTTTGTACATTCTCAGTTTGGCCTTTCTACTTATATTTTTGCTTTTAAGGAGTGTAAATAGATCCTGTACCATCTATTGGCTGACTTAATTCTATTAGTTATGTCTGTTTCAACATTATTATTATCTGTCATTACTGAGGCCAGATAGTTAAAACTCTCAACTGCTTCAAAAAGTTATCTGCTATAAGGAGATGTTCTTATCCCTTTTGTTTCTTTCCGTTACCATATATTTGGATTTGGCTTGACTGATTTCTAGTCCCAACCTCCTGGCTGTTGTAACAAAGCAGATTTCAGTGCCCCCCTATTTCTGGCTGATATTACATCATCTGCATATGCTAACCACTGCACAAGTCTATCATAAATGTTTCCAGGTACACATATGACTCTCCTAACACTTGTAATGTGAGAAAAAATAAAATAAGTAACTATGTGTTGTCATACAATGAATCATGCAACCTCTCAAACAGGACAAAAAGCAAAAAAACAAACAAAATTACACCTTCACATCCTTCATACATTTACTGTAAACTTGAGAATAGCCTCTCTTTAGTTTTATTTAGTCTCACAGATAATGAAACGGTATTTAAATCTAATTCTACATTACGCCAATTAAGGCAGACATGCAGGTACATCTGCATCTGAAATCCTGTCACATAATATGAAGAGGAATAAACTGTTATATTCACTGTTGCAGAATCCAGAACAATAAATTCTTAAAATCAAGGTTCCCAAGACATTGGAGGATTACAGTTTAACAATTATTGTATGTCTGATGTACAAAGCTGAGGAACAAACTCCACATGTAAGAACATATGACTTACCATTAACCAAATCTCAGTTAGTAGCATGAAGTTCCCAAGACCAACCACTGAAGAGGTTATTTGTCTTGTCTCAATATGAAGCTCCATCACCAGTTCCAGGCCTCTCACTGTCATCTGCTGCAGACTTCTCTATTCTATAAAAAGAAAATTACATTATCAATATATTAACAATAAAACATATCAAACACTGTCAAGCAAATGGATTCTGCTTCCTATTCTCAAGACTGCTCATGGCTTCAACAGTTATTTATCCAAGAGAACATACAAATTGATTCCATTAGCAGTTATCACTCATCTAAGAGGTGCTCAAACAACAGTAGAAGAGAAAAATAATACATTAAATCACACCAGACTTTCACAATTGGGTACCTTAGTAAATATGCATGGGTAATTGCATATGACATGCTAGCAGTTGTCAACACAGTCTCAAAGTATAAATGCAGATGTATCAATTGAAATGAGTTTCATTTTTTAACCTAAATGCCATCAAAAAAGGCAATAGAAAATAAATGGCTGAAAAGTGGCAATCATGCAATCAATAAACAGTCACATATTCTTTATCCATAAAAAACATAGAGCAAATAAAAAAGAAATAAATAAAATACAAAATTATACCTATAAAACATGCATGGACAAATAAAAGGTATATTATATGTCTATATGTCCTTTATTCATGTAACTAAAAAGGTTTAACATTAGTGACAAGGAATCCCACAAACACAACCAATTCTGAGATAGATCAATATGATTCATGCATCAAACACTGCGTTAGTATTAACATAAATTGTATCGATTCGTTACCGGTTCAGATTAAGTATTAGGGACATGGTTCAAAGTAAGGCATGAAAAATACGTTATATTCAATACAGGAGCTGCGTTAGCTCTGTCGCAAAAGTGACTAGGCTACAAGCTGGTACAAATCCTTCAAATATACTATAAATAATGTTTTCTTTCATGTGACAAAGAATAAGTAAATGAAAAGTAAAATATTCCACTCCCATTCAGAAGTCTTTAAGCATTTCTGAAAATAATACGTAAAGGTACCATTAAATTAATACAAATAAAGGTAAATCACAAACAACTGGCAGCATATCCGTCGCTGCTGTCAGAACAGCCATAGCAATTTCAGCCTTATTACAACTAACTAACTAAATGGCTTACAAAATCCGAAGGTTCATCACCAAATTAAACAATGCCCTCCAACAAAATTAAGTTTCCTTCAACTCCTATCTCCGACAGATCCTGCCTAAGATTATCCTCCCATCTACATCTAGGTCTCCCCAGCGGCCTCTTCCCCTCAGGCTTCCCAACCAATACCCACACACATTTTGCCCCACACATGTACACCACATGATCCGCCCATTTCATTCTACTTGACTTAATCACCCTGACAATACTGGAGGAGTAGTACAATTTTTTAAGTCCAAATATCCTCAACACCCCATTCTCAAACACCTGCAATCTATGTTCCTACCTCAGAGTGAGAGATGGTGTTCCGCACCCATACAAAACAACAGGCAGAATTATTGGTTTGTATATTTAAGCTTTCTTACAACTGGTACTTTTAATGTTACAAGTGAAATAAGTTAGTATTCTGGCAATAAAATAATGTTATGGATGGGACTGATTAAATGAGACTATGGTTTAACTGAGTCTTTACTCCTTCAATACCGGATTTTATATACTCCTTTTCTTGGCACTTGGTTACTGTTGTTCAGGGGAAGGCTGAAGTCGTAATTCAGGTGACAGAGCCAGCTGGTGCATACAAAAGATGGTTGCAGTGATAACAAGGTTCTATCTCCCCCTCCCCCCATTCAAGCACAGGGTATATTATTAATAATGATTGGCAGAAGCTGGAAATCTATGGTCATACATGTAAATGAATTAGCCGTGTTTGCCGGACAACAACTTTAGAAGTATCCTACTGTGACACATGGTCAAAATAGTTTAAATTGCAATACAAAGTCAGACTTCATAAACTGCAACCTCTGCACAAAATTCCTATAATTCGATTCAGTTAAAACAAAATGTTTATCCTTACTTCAACATCCATCACATCCTCTATCTAGCAATATACTGTCTTTAACCTTTATCTTACTAGCGTTCCGTCTGGGACATAAGTTTTGTACTAAGCCCTACGAAAGTTCCTTGTGCGGAACGCAAAACTTCTTATGAATAGGAATCATTATGGATTGCTTCCATTGTTTGTGGCATCTCTTCCTTATCCCATATTAACTGAATAAGCTTATGGATCCCCATAAGCAACCCTTTGCCACCTGTTTTAATTAATTCTGCTGGAATCTGATCAATACCTGGAGATCCATGGTCACGCCAAAGAGTCCGTCCTGGTCCGAGGCTTAGTTAGTTTTTTCGTAATGATGTTTTTTTTTACGGTGAAAGGTTGTTGGCCTTACACCCAACCCCCAACCTGGAGGACCAGGGCACCACTTTTAGTCTGGCGCATCGCCTTAGACTTGTCCAGCTTGGGTGACCCTACCATGAGCCGAAGCTCTGGTCGGCATAGCCCTAAGGGTCATTTGAACATGCAAGCCTCCTCACCTGGCAAATTGCCTTTGACAAGGTGGTTATACCTTCGAGAAGGACAAAAATATCTATATATTTAATATATATAATAATTGGAACATATATAAAAATTGGATCATACAGTATATGTGGCCTACTGCCACACAAAATTTCACATGCAATTCCAGTGGTTATTCACTTACCACCATCACTAAGCAACCACAGCAATATGTTTCAAAATTTACATTTTCGTGTAAAATGCAACACCACACAAAATTTCAAGATCCTGTATTGAAGAAAACTAGTGTTTCTCCCACCTCAAAGTTTTCAGTGCCATGTTGTCTAGTGGTATGACAGTCATAAACCTGCTCTTGCTTATTTATGAAAAGTAGGAAAATAAAAGCACTGTAAACAACAGAGCAGATAAGAAAAGTGAACTTAATCTTGTAAATGAAGCAACAACAAATTACATGAATCATGTGACCTTATTCAGACACATTTATGGCATGGCTAACTACCTTATACTAAAAACAAAATTCATTAAAACTTACATCTCAGTCTTCTATAAATGAGAAATGGCCTGATTTGGTTTGTGATGACATAAGTATTGTCCATTGCACAAACGATGCAGTCTTTTTTCTTTGCCCAATCTGTAAAAGAACACAAAAGTTATTACATTACAACACAGAGAGACAACCAATAAACATGAATGTATGCTGCATCAACTGCAACCATACTAATTCCTCATAGCTACATACTTCTTGAGCAGCTAACAATGAGTCAAATGACTACAGTCCACTAAAATCCTATTTCTTTAAGAACCACATCATTGCTGTCCTATCTGCACATTTTTTCTCCCTCCTGCACAGTCTACACGTCCCACCAATATCATCGTCCTAATGGAGTCGAATACAGTCTGCAAATCCTAATCATGTCATTTTGTTGAGCCTTCTGTTATTCCCCTCTCTTAGGTCCAAATATTCTTCCAAGTGCCCAACTCTCAAGAAACCTCTATCTAAATTATTCCCTTGGAATAAGAGACCAAGTTTCATACCCATGAAAAACAGAACATAAAATATGTTTCACACGTTTTAATATTCATGTTTTAGACAGAATACATGAGGCCAAAGGTTTTGAAATCATTGGTAGGTAGCAAGCATTCCCTCAATATAATCCGCCCTTAAATTCTTCTTGCCTGTAATTGTAACTTGTTTCAGTCAATCCAGAGTCTAAATTTTTCCCCAATTCTGAAATTCTTATTAGCTATATTTATATTATAAATTTATCCGGCAATCTGATTACAAGACATGAACACATGCTAAGTTTTCTTTACGTTTTCTTCTATACCATCTATCCAAGTTCTGACCTTTGGAGTTAAGTTTTTTTTTCTCTACAGTATTTATGGTTTAGCCCAACAAATTCACGTCAGCACCATAGACCACACAATTCCATTTCCTCTTTCTTGTCTTAGACCATTGTAATGATGTATTCTAGAATAAACCTGGTAAGCAATGCTAATAAGGCAATTTCTCATTTTAAACCATTCTGAACAGGAAATATGTGAGACAAAATTTTACCTTTTTTGACATTACTACTAATTATATCTGCACACACTTTAATTGGCCTAATTAGTTTTACGAAAACACAAGTAAATCTTATCGCAATGACGTCAACCCACTGTATGGGATAGAATACTCACTGGTAGCTGTGCATGATTTTAGGTGCTGCTTTCACTCTGTAGCCAGTTAACAAATGATGGGACATGGAACAGGGCCTAAAATGAAGCAGAAACAGACAATGAGATAACTGCTAAGTTTGGAATTTAGAAAGCAAATAATTTAAACCAATCAAAAGGCTATATTATATTTTTAACTAATATATAGTGATTATGATGGACAGGTAACCATATCTGGATACACACTGTACTTACTGCACTTACTAGTAGATCACTGAGAAAATGTGACCCCAATCCCAGATGGAATGCACATTTTTATATGAAAGCTGTCATCAGTGAGCAGGAGAAGAGTACATTATTGGAAACCAGTGACTCAAATATTAATTGATGAGATTGACAGTTTATTTCAGTAATCATCAAAGTATTTGAATTTGTTTACAACATAGGTGGCTGCAGATCAATCTGAAAAATAGTGCATTTTTTATAACTTTGAGGTTATGTCTGAAATCAGAAATAATTATAAATAGCAGTTCAACATGAAAAAATTGTACAATTTTTATTTTAAGACTTACCTGCTTCTGTTATACTTGGCCCCCAGATATTTCACTAATTACAGTCTTTTCTAAACTAGATAAATATTTCATGCATTCATTAAGATCCATATTACTTTCAATTGAAGTTGAATTACTTAACCTACTGATTGAGGGGCTTAAACAGCAGTGTACAGACTAAATAAAAGTTCCATATAAAACATATTAACTGCACGCTGCACATGGCAAAAACTTTTATGTCTACGACATTAACAGCATCCATTACGTGCTACAAAATGAAGAAATAAACAATTCCTTAGCCTCATTTGTAGTTTTAAAACAGAATTTGATTTCTGCTTTTAGGTTATTAAACATACCTGCAGTGTTGAATTGATGTAACTAGTGTTTCCATCATTAATCATTCCTGATCCCACAGAATGGATTCCTCTCCAGCCCAATTGCACACATTCTGCTGGGAAAAGTGTCATTTTTGGTGTCAAGATGGAATCAGGTTCAGGTTTTGCACTAACATTCTCATTACTGCCAGTGTTACAAACTAAAATCAAATTACCAAATACATACATATATATATATATATATATATGCAGCAGAAACAAACTGAACATGAACAAGGACTGTGGACCAGTTGAAACTAGAAGGTAGTTTGAATGTTATAACTTTTATAATATGCAAATAGCAGATTTAAATTGGGCTAGTGGCCACATTTTAACTTTGGAGTTAACACTTTAACAGTATCCTAGTACAACTGGCAACTGTAAGCTGTAAAACATGGTCAATAATGGTTAAGAGGCAATGAACTATTATAAAAAATTTACAACTCCAATAAAGCAAAATCACATTTTAATAACAGAGTATTTTGCATGTCGGCAGGTACACTGAACACATAATTTCATTGTTCATTCATTTTCTGACAGTACCTTCTAACTTTTGCAACCACCAGACAGTGGTCAATATCACATTCAGATCCATTTTTTCTGAATGCTGCTTTACAAATACATCATACAAAAGATACATTCAAGTGCATTTTTAATAATGTAATCTCAAAACATTTTACTCGTGGCAACTTTTCTACATTTGCCAAGTTTATTACTCTAATCCCATACTCACATGTAGCTGCATGAAAGCTCACTCTCTACTTCTGAAATTAAACCTACTAATAAAAATTTCACGCAGTTCATGGTTTAAATTGATTGGATACATGCACTACTTCCTCATTAAAGCTCTCCTATGTGTAATCATCGTTCCTTCAATCGGGTATGTGCATTCAGAATATCACACCAGTGGTCTCCTTGTATGTGTTATCAATAATAAACTTTACCCTCTTAATGTCCAATATGATTATATTATGAACAAAACACTGAAACGTTAATACATTCAGAGAGCAAAAGGTGTACATAAAATTTACTTTCTAAAAAGAGTCGCCAGTACTCTTGCTGATATGTTTGAATCCGAAGATGGAGAAACTTTGCTGCACAGATAATACTTATTACAAGTTGTGAGGGCATGGCTTTAAAAATTCTCTGACCAAAGGCAAAATGCTCAGTGATTGTAGGGAGCTGCTTTAAATTCTCTGAACATGGATTCAGATACAAGATATACACAAAAGAATGGTGCGGTTTCAAAAGTTAATAAAAAAATTATTTCTCACCTTACACGGGCACAACATAAACCGTCAGCGGCGGCAACTGTCCACGTTTCTCATGTGTTAATTACAATCCTTCAATGTGTGCACCCTGGGTCACACGACACACATCCACACGGTAATCAAACACATCCCAGACCTGGTGTAGCATGTCCGTTGTAATGGCCTGTAGTGCATACGTTATCCGATCATGAAGTTCATGGATGGACGTGGGTAATAGTGGTATATAAACGCTGTCTTTAACGAACCCCCAAAGAAAGAAATCGCAAGGTGTAAGATCTGACGAACTGGGTGGCCAAGGGAGAAGGTTGTTGTCTTCATTTGCAGCAGCACGTCCGATCCAGTGCTGTGGAAAAACACGATTGAGAAGCACTCGTACATTCCTGTGAAAATGGGGAAGAGCTCCGTCCAGTTGTAGGTGTAAGGTGAGAAATAATTTTTTTATTAACTTTTGAAACCGCACCATTCTTTTGTGTATATTCTCTATATAGGGGACTTTTCATGACGTCATCAGATGCGCATACGCAGACCTGGTGTATTCTTTCGACCATGAGGTTTATACAGTACCTGGTGGTTTTTCGTTTAAGTAACTCTACTCGTCACCGATAGATACCGCGAGCATTGCGTCTGATTTCGAAAGAAACAGCTTGTGTCTCAACAATGGAATTCATGTTTGTTTCTCCAATATAACTGTTGTCAGTCAACAATTTCGTTTTCATAGAAACACTCCATCTACAAAATGGAGGGAGGCAAGAACAACATTCACAAAATAAATGGATTGATGAATCGAGCCAGCATTTATCAGTTTGCATCCAGGATGTGGAATTGTCTGTGTAAATGGTGCAGACGATATTTCTTCACTGGGGTAAATAATAATGGACTAACAGTTTTCCGCGGTACTAGCAAATTTAGAATTCCTAATTCATATAAAGTGCCTGCTACAATATAGCAAAAATCAGGAAAGACAGGTGGGACTTTGCCTACGAAAGCATCATATCCGTGCTGTAATTATTTACAGGGATATACTATTGCAGAATTTATTGGAATGATTATATTCTAAACTTACCATCACAACAAACTCACTCCGAACAGACTTTGTGCAGACACTATTTTTTCTTTAAAAATCTACAAAAGAACATTCCAAACGTTGCGTATTTTTCACAATTTTATCATTTCAGAACCCCATATTAAGTGGTTCTAACGTTTAGAATGAAGGCAGCTGACATAACATTCATACCATATTTCTTGCACATCGGTTGTAAGGGACACGAAGAGTGCTTAATGATCTTGCAGCCCTCAGTTTTCTTCGCAAAGGAAAAAATGTTAAAAACCGGTTTTTAAGATATGCAGCTTGATGTTGGGGTTTGTTAAATTTTGATACTTCCATTCATTTCGGTATACGTGAATTCCCGAGAAGTTGAAAGGTTCAGATTTTTATAACACGTTCGAATGTAATGGTTGATATTCTCTTTACGTCTGCAACAGCTTGCTCCTTAAGCAGGCTGTCCACCGACCAGGAAATAACAATATTGGAGGAATATGATTAACGATGATCTATATAAATTGGGCTGCTTAGCAAATATTGTTAGACTACAAAAATGGATGGAAAGTGTAGCAAATTTGGAAGACCTTGTTGTTCACAAAGGATTCAGAACCTACTAAAATTACAGCTTAACTGGACTGAGTGTGCGAATGTGCACTGGTTTCTCCTGGTACATAATGGACACCAGTAGCGGGATATTTTAGATAGAACATAGCGTGGATTTAGTTTAGGTTCATATTTATAGTATAGCCTCAATTATGGTCCATCATAAATTGGAAAAAAATAATAAACACCTTATTTTGCACTCTCATAGAACGTTCGGGCAAAAGACGATCTAACAATTCGATATGTATTTATTTCAACTACTCTCTAACAGAGAATGTGTATACATCACAGCGATCCTATTTTCTCACGTTCTTTATACGCTCTGTGTCAGGCTTAAATATCTCTTTTTCGTGGTTTCGAATCTATGACATGTATTCTGGCCATAAAGTCTCTCATAAATTGTATACAACATCAATTGTGCAGTTTAAGTAAGAAACTTCCGAAATCAGTTGCATTAACGTTGTAGCAGTGCAGTGGGCTGTCCATAATTAAAGAGCTCGAGAGAAAAGTGAACGAAGCAGCATTCCCAGATTAACCAATGTTCAAAGAATGTGCTGAAACACGCATTTTCTAACCTGAAACAGCAACAGAAATGACATTAAACCGTGCCCAGTAACAACTTAACTCTCCGGTAGAATTCATAAGACTAAATTAAAAACGCGTCTAAGAACACATTAGTGAGGAGAATATTTGAAGTGCGTGGGGTTGGGGAGCTGAGAGAGTTGTATTATGAGGAGCTGTATCATTTTTACTCTTCGTCAGATAATATTAGAATTATGAATCAAGCAGAATAAGATGGATGGAAAATGTAGCACACATGAGGGAGTTTGGAAATTCTTAGGACAGTCGAGATTATTTGTGAGACGTGGTATATATGAGAGGGTAAGATTAACATAGATCTGACAGAACATGTGGATTTGCATGGGATTTATCTGACAGAAGACAGCAGTGCTGAACGTTTGTTAATGAACGTGCGGATTTAATAAAAGGAGTGGCATTTTTTGAGCTGAACGACTTCTCACGAGAACTTTTACACTACAGCAATTTGGCATACGGTGGTACTTAACAAACCAGTGCTTCTCGCTTTGGTACGCTGTAATCATTCGGTGTTTACATAAATGTTACAGAATACTGGTTATACATGTTTTCTAATATTAGACACCGTAAAATGCTATATAAGAGTCTTCCAACATTGCGAGCGCGATGACTATACATTTCAGTGTCTCATGCGGCTATGATATTCTCTTTTTTGCAGAACTGCTCTTCATATGAGAAACAGAACGACGAAAATAGCGACCTCAGGTATGTGAACTACACTCTTCTAAATGCCAGAGTCATGGTTATAAACAAGAGGTGCATCAACTGATTAGGCTAATGGCTCACATGTACTGAATTTCACAATTACCTAATTGAGTTTTTCTACCAAATGGCAAATAAGAACAAAGTTTCTCTTGGAGACAGAACTCAAGAAAAAATCCATCTTTTTTGGAAGGTCGGTCATAGGTGTGTGTAAGACAATGGCGTGTCATAAAAAATAGTAAGCACTTGAGAGTTGTCCTGAAAAGAAAATCCATATGATATGTCTTAGAAATTTATACTCAGGGTTGTAAAACAAATGTATGTACATCAACTCTTCCCAGAACTCGAAAAAAACAACAACTAAATACGTCTTATATGGAAATACATCTCTAGGAAAATTATTTTCGTTTTAATATCCCGAAATATAGACAAATCGGTGTCCAGAAAGTTATTTGACCAGTAGTGGAAGTGATACATACGTAAAATGTTCTGCTTTTCTAAAGCCAGCACCGAAAAACACGTAGATTCTTCCCTATTTCATAAATTACGCACAGAGTTGTCCATAAAATTGGTACGTCGAAGACGAAAAATGTCGCCCTCGGTGGGCTAGTGGTAGCGTGTTTGCCACTGGATTCAAGGTTTGCGGGTTCAAACCCGGCCCAGTTCGATGGATGGTTAAAGGTGATAAAAATTAACACAACTTCCTTCGGAGGGGAAGTAAAGCCGGCGGTCCCTTGAAGTAGATTTACAGCATGTAGAAAAACCTTATGAGCATGAACGAGATGTTTTGTAGGCAAAATTCAGCGGCCATTTCTCTCCAAGAAGTCCCTATCAAATGTCTAAAAATAGTTCAATAATCTACGAAATGAGGCCGTTATACTCCACGTAGGAGAGAAATGTGTGAAGAAACGGCCTGGGAAGGACTGTTCATTGCCCCTATTTTCCATAGTATGTATTTATAACATACTCGACACTTTAAAATTTTCTTTCACTATATTGAATAATGCTCATGTGTAAAATACTTGACGTTTTAAATTCTGTATCAGTAGCTTATAACTGTTAGTTTAACGACGTCATAATATGTAATTAATTTTGTTATTTTGTTTTTAAATAAAAAACAAATAAAGTAAATGCCTTTTCATGGAATAACGAAATAATCAGTCCATACAAGATAACAGTTTTAGATTTGTAAATGTAAGCATAAATAAGAAATTATACTGGATATGTTTTTGATTCCCTGTTAAATTTCATTGAGTATCGATGCTATTGTAATATTAGAAATTAATGGGATAAAATTTGTTTTAATGCAGGGCTCTCATAACAAAAGCTTCTGTCTCGGAAACTTCGAGGGATATTGGCCCAGAAAAGAGTACCGACGAGTACGACCAAAAGGACCAGTACAGTTTCAGCTCATTATTTGAACAGCATACAACAAAGTTAAGTGACAAACTGGCCGAGGTATCAGCTGAGAGGGATGTCTTGTTAGAACAAATAAATCTTTTGAAAAAATCTATAGACTGGCTGTCAACTGAAAATGAGGGCCAAAAACAAGAGATTGAAAGACTTCATGACGCTAAAGAGGTAGCGGATGCATTAAGAATTAAATATGAAGCAATAACACGTATATTAAATAAATTGAGGATAGAAAATAGCAGATTGAAAGTCAGCTTACGCGATAAATCACGTGTTAGTGCAGAAAATGTGCTTGCGATGTGTAGTGAAATGGCTAAGTTATCAGCAGAGAGGGACGCCTCGAAGACAAGTTATGAAGCAATTGCTGAAGAAAATAGTAGACTGAAGCGACAGTCGTTGGAGACGCTCGAAGCAGATGGTGTGGAGAGCGAGTGAACGTTATGAGCAAAACCGTAGAATCGCTGTTGTCTGAGAACGAGGACTTAAAACGGGAAGTTCAAAGATTTTCTGTCAGAGAAGTTGAAGCTGATATATTAAGAATTGACTGCAATTCAGTAAGAGTTAAAATGTGTGAATTGATAACTGAACGTAACAGAATACAAGCTGAATTATGCGAGGATTTAACTATCGAAGAAAGTTTGCCTGCGATGCGCAAGCAGATAGAAATCTTGTCAGCAGAAAGGGTCGTCTTAAAGACAAAGTGTGCACAAGTTACTGATGTGGATAATAGCAAAGCCAGCCATGGTAAACGAAAATGGGAAGCTCATGGATTATGTAAAGAAGTTGAAACACGATGTTAATCATGCCAAAGAGAGGGAGCTGTAGAAAGATGACATTGTTAGCGACATGGAAAAGTAAATTAAAAAACTGACAGATTACATCACAGCCATACAAGAAGATCGTACTGAATGGATTCGGAACCGTCTCCTGATCAAAAAGTCACTCAAGAAAATAGAGTGCAGATACAATCCAATTCTAGCAATACCAGCATTGACAATATATGTAGCAACAATGGTGGAAGAAGGGCTCCAACAGCAATTTAGTTACCTACGTAGTCTATAAGGTAATTTTTTTAGTTTAGTTTGTCCCACTATACGCCATGTAGGCGTTTGGGGTGAGTGGAGGTATAGCTCCTCTCTTCCTTGACCTCGGCACTAGATGGGGGTGAGTGGTCAGCATCACGCCCCGGC